CCTTTCTTGTTGGGACGGTCTTGGGCTTCCTCTGCCACACTGCTGGCCCAAGGTTCTGGATAGTCTCGTGTTTCCCTGACTCTAAACCAACACAGACAGCAGACACCCTTCTGGGCACAAGAGACTTAGAAGACGGCAGGTGACTGGGGGAGGAAGGGATGGGTGGCAGCAGGAGGCGGGCTCTGCTCAGCCAGGGGGCCGGTGAGTCTTCTGGATCTGAAACTGCCGTCCAGACACCCGAATCTGGCCTCCCAGCTGTGAGCTGTGTTTTTCTCACTCAAGTTTCGATCATCGGTGTTAAAACTACAAATGATCGCAATGCTATATAATACCTTAGGACTTGGTCGCTATGGCGTCCTTTTATATGTGCTCGGTGTGTTTAAGAGAATGGATACTTAGACCTGAAAAGGGAGTGTTTAGTTCAGGGGTCAGCAACCTACAGCTAGCAAGGCAAATCGGCTTCCATCTGTTTTTGGAAATGAAGTTTTACTGGAACGCAGCCACACCCCATTTGTGCATCTCCCGCTGATTCTACATCATTACAAAGGGCTCAGTCGCTGCTTCAGAGATTGTTTGTCCTGCAAAGCCTAAAATATTTACCATCTGGCCCTTCACAGAAGGTTTGCCAATCCCTGGTTTAGGTGAAAGCTCTCCGAGTTTCACCCATTCGTTCCGGATGATATGGTTTCTTCATGAAAGAAAAGGAAGTTAATATTAACCACCACCGAGTCTTAGTAACTTATTTCTGCCTTCATACCTAACTCAGCGTTCTCACCTGGGCCTCCAGGTGAGCTGTTGATTTATGAAACCCAAACTGAAAAGGTTCTTGTACACAAATCGGCCTTCCTAATTTTTAAATTCCTTCTTTTGTACAAATCAGAAACTAGATCTGAAAGTCATCTTTATTTTTCTGTCTTCTACAGTTTCTTTTTTCTCAGAGATAAAATGTTAAAAGCATTTGCCTTCCCTGTTTGTTCTCTTATTCAGACACAAATAAAAAGGGAATATCTTTTCGATGTCCACTTTTGCAAGCATCGTCGCTAAGAATATATAATTTTTAATCCACTCAAGAATACTTTTCCAAATGTGTTTTGAGTACTTAAATGGAAAGCAAACCTACACTAAAATGATCAGAAAAGAAACTCAATCTGTTTGAACACCACATATATATAGTCTATCTGATTCCACTCTACAAACAAGAAAGCTGTGTTAGACAATTAAAATAGAGAAATGTAAACAATAGGTACAAAATACAGAGAAAGGAGAATTAATATGAGTTAAAGATGCTGGGAGAATTCAATAAAGGTCACAGAGAAAACACCAGAACTGGGTTTTAAAGCAGAAGGAGAGTCTCACAAAAGCAGAGGCGAAGGTACTGACGTGTGGAAGGCTAGGGACCTTGGGGCCCGGTGTGCCCAGAGGCGAGGGCAGGGACGTGCCCTCAGGGTACTCACTCACTGCTACAGTGGGGGAAACTGCACTCTAATTTTTTTTCTTAAAGAATCCTGCGTTTGGAATGAAATAATATACTAAAGAAAGACTTCTCTGGGCCCCAGTCCACCTCCCGTTCACCGCGCCGATGTCACTCTGTCACTTGGACCACTGACCTCGTGTTCTTAAGTCTCTCTATTGACAGCCAAGGCCAGGAAGAGCATCCAGCAAACGCCAGATCTCCAGTGGCGTCAGCGCTGGAAGGATCCCCCGGAAGAGGAACCGTGTCTCCTCCAAGGTCCCGTGCGGAGATTGCAGAGCTACCGTTTATCCAGGGCTGCAGTGTCCTGGGCATTCCGTGAGGTTCTGAAGATTTAACCCTCGCAGCAGTATGGGTAGTTTCTGTGGTCCTGCATTTGACAGACAGGGCACTGTAAGCCCAAGACACGTGCCCACAGTCACACAGCTAATCAGTGCTGGAACCTGGGGCGGTCTCACTGCAGAGCCCAGGTCTCCTGGTCCCTGGCTATGCCCTCCATTACCAATGAGCCGCCCCAACTAGCAGACCGGCAGACAGTTGCGTGAATGGCTTTGATGGCATTTACAAAGCATGTGCCCCCTGCTCTGAGGAGCCTCCCAAACCAGGGCTGTACCAGCATCTTCCATCCCCTAAAAAGATCCCAGTCCACCTTTCAGTTTGTGCAACCTGGCACCAGAGTGCCCACCTCCAATGGCCAACTGTGAATGTGTGTAGCCTCCCCACCATCCTGACATCATACATCCCTAAGTCTCTCTATTGTATCTCTAAGTCCAAATAAGATCTGAACACCAGCCGGCCTTGAAGCAAGCGCTGGTTCCCATGGTAACCGGGCCATCATCTCTTCCTCACTTGAACAGTGCTCTCAACACCACAGCGGTCTCAGCTCCAAAACGCCGCCTGTGGCCAGTCACCCGGGTGTGGAACTCCGGGTGGGCAGAGGGGGCCTCCTTCCTGGCTGCAGCGTTCAGGAGCAAATCGGGGCGTCGGGACTTTAATCCTGGTGGGGTTCAGGAGGACTCAACCCTTTCCTTAGCCCTCCATGTTCTATTGGGTGGAAAGCAACTACAACAGGGCTGTTTTCCTGCCTCCCAGACCCAGCTCTGTCGATCAGAAGTGGCCGTGGTGTCCAGGCACTGGCCGTCCCAGAGGCTAAGAGCTGCGGTGAGCTGGGGACCAAGGTGGTGGCCCAGGCCAGGGAGGCGGACCCAGCTGGGGCCGCTCCTCTCATGACGGTGACTCCCTGGGTGGGTAGATGGCCAGAGCCACACTCCTGCCCCAGACAGTGCCCAGCCCTGGGGCCCCAAAGAAAACAGGAGAGAGATGCCACGCAGTTACCAAGGAGACTGAGAAACTGTCTCAGATTACGGGAGACTAAGGAGACGTGACAACAAAACACAGGGAGGGCCCCCGCATCACAAAAATGACAGGAGGGCGAAAACTCAGGAAATCCGCATACAATCTGCAGTTTAGTCCATAGTGTTGCACCCAGGTTAGTGTGTTCTTTTTGTAATTGTACTGTGGTCATGCCACATGTTAACAGTAGGGGGAGCCAGTGCACTGAGGAAACTACTATCTTGGCAATCTTCTGAAAGTATAAAACAGTTCCAAAATAAAAAGTTTTAAAAATGGTGTACTTTTCTTCATAAAAATAAAAGGAGGCACTGGCTCTCACCTCTTGGTGCTTTGTAAAATAATTTTGTCATGCTGCCTGATTTCTTTGTGGCTCGCATTGTCCCGCTCCGGCTCAGGCGAGGTCCACAGGGGCCAAGGGGAAATAAAGAGGAGCTGGCACCTTCTCAACGCTACGGCATCGTTCTAAACCGTTTATCACGCCTCCTCTCTCACACCCACCTTCAAAAACCAGCGATTCCTGGTTCTGCCTTCCGACGGCCTATCTGGAATCTGGCCACTTCCGACTACCCCCAGCGCCCTCTCCGATTCCTCTCCAGCCCCCTCCCCGCCCCCACTCGCATGTAAAAGTCACACGGAGCCCTCCCCTTCAGATCCCCTTTAAATCACCCTCCCCTTCAGATCCCCTTTATTTTGCTCTATTTTCTTCCCGTGGACCTTTCTCCTTCTAATATACAATTTAATACACTTACCGTTTGCTCCTCTTTTCCTCCGGCTGGAATACAAGCTCCCAGGGGCAGAGATCCCTGTGTGGCTTCTTTCCTGCTCTGGCCCTAGCACCTGGAATAGGACGTGGCCCTCAGTAACTATTTGTTGAGTCAATAATTAGTGCGAGAGAAGGGTTACTCTTTCTCTCCCGGTCGAGCATGGGCAAACCGTCCACAGAACTGTCCTTCTGTGGGGCTTTGTTATTCTAGAGCAGAGATGTGGACGCATGTACAAGTCCAGCCAATGCCCACACAGAACTGGGGTCTATCCCCAGGTGCCAGCTTTATGGAGCAGTGGCCTTTTGAAAAAGGGGACACACGCATGAGCGTCTGGTCTCCACCACCTGTGCAGCTTCGGACAGATTACTTTAAACTCAATGTGCTTCGGTTTCCTCACCCGTCGAATGGGGATCACCTACGCCTGCTTCATCATGTTGTGGAACGTGAACAAAACCGAGCACGGGGAGGCCCTGCAAGCCACCAGCGCAGAACGGTGTCATCACCCAACAAGAATGCGAGCTAAAAATGCATTTCTAAATGGCAACTGTTCAAATTTCAAAATACATTTTTCACATAATAAGGCAAGTTGTGCACCCCATCTGTAGCCACTTGGCTAAGGTGCTTCACCTGAGTACCCGGTTCGTCCTCACAGCAGGCCACATTTTTCCAGAGAATTAGTGGGAAAAACTAATTATTCCCTAGAGCTCATGAGAAAAGTTTGGTAATTGAACTGAGGACAGATAATCAGCTAACGGCTGGTATCAGTTCAGTGGACATTTATCGAGGCCCTACCACGTGCCGGCCACTGTACTGGTGACAGTAGGACTCATTTCTGGCTCGGGACTCAATAGGACAAGAAATCGGAATTGGATGGAGCTCACAGGACACTCAGACGAATCAGTCTAAAGGCCACCCTCTCGGATGAGCCTGAGAGGGCGTAAATAACTTGCCCAGGGTCACATGACTGGTGTGTGCCACACGCCACGTGCCCTCCCGCTGTAGGGACGAACCAAGTACTCAAGTGAAGCACCTTAGCCAGGTGGCTACAGACTGGGTGCACAGCTTGCCTTATCATGTGAAATAACAAGGTCTCCTTCGTCATAAAAATGTAGCCTAGTGTCTTCTATATAATGAACCGCGTCACTGCTCTCAGCCTCTGAATGTGAAGCCTGCGCTCTCTTCCCCCACGTCATGTCACATTTCATAGCACAGTGTCCCTCAGTTGCGGGGGAGCCGGGGGAGAGGGTACCTCCAGTACCGCTTCTGGCCTGGAGGAAAGGACTCGATGACACAAAGGCCGACGGCGCCCCCTGCTGGCCATTAGTGGTCATACAGCTTCCAGGACGACAATCCCAGCTCAGGCTGAGTGGGGGGGTCTCCGGGAACTTCCCCCCGCGTGAGGATGGGGGTGCCGCCACTCTGCCCTTCAGTTGAGGGCCTGAGAGAGGCTCTGGGACTGGGCGGCGCGCTTTGGAAAGCGCGCTATTTGGTGTGGGGGGGCCGTGACTGTGAGGAGGGCTCAGGAGACGAGCCCCGCCTTCCGCATCCGGCGCCCTCCCCCGGCTCGTTCCCGCGACGCCGCGCTTAACCCGCTTTATTTCTCACGTCCTACCATGTGCCAGGCGCTGTGCTCAGGGCTGTGGGAAATCCGGAGAGTAACAAGATCTTTATATCTCCTCACAGAGATGAAAACACAGCGCGTCGTTCCGCGCACCCCGTGGAGCACCCATCCCAGACCCGGGCGTGCGCTCTGCGTCCGGGACTGTAATCCCCAAGTGCAAATACTGTGCTGACCGCATAAAACAATCCTTGAGGCCCAGCAGGGCTTCCGGCAGCCTTCGGTCAGGCCTCCCTGACTGATCCCTTATTGCCACTGTAGTAGAAAGTCTTAGGTGCCCATGACTTTGCGCGCGCGCGCGCACTCAGTAGACTGCAACCCTCAATATGCAAAACTGGAAGACACTGAGGACTCACCACCGTAGGAAAACATCTCATTTCCGGTTTCCGCCTCTGCTAAAAACGGCTCAATAACAACAGCACTTCTGCCCACCGCTTTCCCTCCGAGTCCCACCGGGTTAAGGCCTTCGACACTGTTTACCACCTGAGCGACCCAGCTGTGGGAGGGCAGCTGATTCCCCGTCCTCCGCAGGAAATAAATCAGGATGAGCCTGGAACAGCTTGAAATCCAGAGCCCCAAACACATCACAGCAGGGGCGGCGCTAACGGAGGACTGACCTGTGCACCAATACCAATATTTATTATAAATTTTTATTGAGGTGTAATTGACATATAACATATTAGTTTCAGGTGTACAACATGATTCCATATATGTGTGTATTGCAAAATGATCACAAAAAGGTAACATCCATCGTCTCACGTTGTTACAATTATTTTTCTTATGATGGGAAATCTCAAGATTCTCTCAGCAACTGTCAAATATACAATATGGTACTTTTAACTATAGTCACCATGCTGCACCTCACATCCCTAGGACTAACGTATCTTGTAACTGGAAGTTGGTACCTTCTGACCACCTTCGCCCATACCGCGCCCCCCTCCCCACCTCTGGCAACCACCCATCCGCTCCTTGTATCTGAGCTTTTTCCTTTAAGATTCTACATGTAAGTGAGATCATACAATATGTGTCTTTATTTGCCTGACAGAGCCCAGGCCTGTGGAGAAGGCTGCCGGACAGGAGCTGGGACCTTGGTCAAGGTGCCAACAGCCTGAGTGACCCTTCAGGCAGAAAGCCAGGAAGATAACCACCCCTCACATCTCTCTCCCTCCAATCTCCTAGTGATGCTGCCCGGAGGTGGCTCTTTGGTGCCGTCCCCTCCCCCACTCAGGCTCCCTCCCCACACAGGGCAGGTGGGGTGGGGTGGGGGTTCCAGGTGGATGTGCCGGGGCCAGTGGTGTCCAGAGTGGCACCTACAATAGTTAATGCACACTTGTAAATATGGTTTAAACTCCTTATGAGAATTTAAATACGTGAGCAGTAAAAATATCTTAACTCAAATGTTTAAGAACATACGATTTTTAAGGTTTTGTTACGTACATGTGTATGTATTCTGCCTATGGGTATTTTTTTTAAGGGAACATTGCCTAAATACCAGGGATATGCCTTTTAAAAATCAGGCCCTAAATTAATCATTAGGCTCTTTTTATGAATAAGTAAAAAGTTCAGATTTTAAAGAACTAAATAGCAATTGGATTTTTTTCTATACAAACTAACATTAAGTGATGTTTAGATGTTTCCCGAACTGATTTTTAGCTCTCCTTGAGTTGTTTTCTGAGTCAGAGCAGAACTGGGGGGTCTCGCCCACACACCCTCTCGTGCTAGAAGGGGTGGGAGGGAGACAAGGGCGGGGCCGCCACATGGAAGATGCTCAGGAATGAAGTCGGCTGGGGGTGAGCACCAGCGCTGAGGTGGCGGCAAAGGTGACTGCACTCATGGGTGCTGGCAGCGGCACAGCAGGGGGTCTGCTCCCAGCTTTTCAGGCACATAAACCAATAAACACCCCTTTTTGCTTCTAAGTGTCTGTCACTTGCAACCAAAAGAGCCCTAATATCTCTCTCTCCATCTCTGGCTTCTGCTTTGCTCTACATTGCTTCCACTTTGCACTCCGGGCTCCCAAGAGTCTCAGGCTGAGTTCTCCAAGCTCCAAATGCCGCAGGAAGTCAGCTGCTCTTTCCTCCCATGGCCCACAAATGGCCTGAAGTTGGGCCTCCTTGGGAAGGCCTGAGTGGGCTGTCCACTCTTAATGGGTGAACAGACTAGAAATTGCAGGGGTCACATCCCTCCGATCCCTTCGGGGGAAAGGAGGGCAGGTGGGGAGTTGATTCCCTTAACTCTCATGGGCCTTGCAAGGACTTGGACTTCTGCTTTGCATGAGATGAGACAAGTGAAGTCAAGGGGCGTCAGGACCAGTGCTGAGTGGGGAAGCCAGGCGGCCTGGCCCCGTCCATGCTCTGCCCACTACGCCATCCTGTCCCTCTACTTCCTGGAACACTTTCTGGCCATTCTGGGTTATGTCGACCCACCCCACGTGTGATTCTGCAGGTTTCTGATAACCTCTCTCGTCTCCCTGCACTGCCCTGGGGCCAACCCCAGATAAGTCTCTTGGGCCTGCCCATCAGGCACGGGCAGAGAAAGGACAGCGACACCTGCCCTGGGTATCGTCGGGCAACACAGTGGGGCTGCTGGATGGTGGGGACGGGTGTGGGGGTGGGAAACCCTTAAGCAAAGCCCACAATCAGCACGACAGCTGCCACAGGATTACGACACGCCGGGCACTGTCCTAGATCTGCCATAAATTCTCTCATTGAAGCCTCCCAACATCCCCCTGACGTCTTGATGCCCCATATTACAGATGAGGGAAAGCTCGGCGAAGGGAAGCTTGCCCGGTGACACAGCTAGGCTGTGGCAGATGGGATCGCCTGGCCTGTCTGACCGCAAAGGCCCCTCCGTTTCCAGGTCCCACCTCCAGCGGATGTCTGGTCTCTTGTCAAACGTTGCCAGCCTTTGTCACTAAGCAGGGTTATGTTACAGGCAGCAGATAATAGTATCAATCGTGTTCCAAATTCTACATTGTCAACCTATTAAAACACGCCTATAAAAGTTAACGCTAGAAATGTAAATCAAAAGCACATGGTTATTATTTTAAAAGAACATAAAATACCAAGTGCTGGCGAGGATGTGGAGAAATTGGAAGCTTATGTACTCTTGGCGGGAATGGGGAAAGGTGCAGCCGCTGTGGGAAACGAGATGGCAGTTCCTCAAAAAGTTAAATTATTCTTTGTACTTTTTTTTTTAACTTTTAAAAAATGAGGAAAAGGTACATACCATGCATTTTCTGATTACGGCGCAATAATGACAGAGAAAAGAAATTAAAAGACATGAAACCACATGGATAATTAACATTTTTGACCTTCCAAAACACTCAGATCAAGGTGGAATTCAAAAGCAAAAATTCAGGCTATTTCGAAAAAAGGCAAAAATGAGATCACTACCTATTAAAACCTGTGGGATTTGGCCAAAGTGTACTCAAAGGAACATGCAAAGGCATTAACGACTTCATTTTTGTGAAATGTGAAACGCCACGTGGGGTCCCCGGTGGGATCCTGGAGCAGAGAAAGGACATTAGTGAAGAATCTGCTAGGATCTGAGTCATGTCTGTAGTTCACAGTTTGGTACCGATGTTAATGTTTTTTTTTTTTTAGTTTTAACAAATGTAAGATGTCAATATTAGGGAAAGCTCAATGAAGGGTAAATGGGAAGCTTCTGTAGCATCTTTGCAATTTCCCTGTAAATGTAAAATTATCCCAAAATAAAAAGTTCAAAGAAAAAGACAGCGGTTTATAGCGACATGGGTGTCACGAGGAAGGCATAGAGCATCCCCTTGGTGGCAAAGGTCCTGGCTAGGCAGTGTGGACCCGGAGTCAGCAATGGGGCACTGACCTCCTGATATCAGTTCCCTGGGGGCCAGTTCTGTGGTGTTTCCAGAAGTTGCCCCTGCTGCTCAATCCTCTAGGCCTTCCAACAATTTCCTAAGCACCGATTCCCCTTAGTTTATATGAATAAAGTTAAGAGTTTTTACATATTTTTCTTTAATATAGTTTAAATTATCTGTCTCTTGTAAGTTTGATAGAATTTGCCCATAAAAACTATCAAGGATGAGCACCTTTTTGTGTGTGAAGGGAGGTAAATATTTGACGACCTTTTTACTTCCTCCCATGGGGTGAATATATCCAGTGTTTCTATCTGCGTATCAGTTAGAGGTTGTTTGAGAATGACAGAAGCTTGGAGAGGTGACCAAACAGAAAGGACCAAGCGCTAAGATATAAAGATACCAAGAATTAAATTCAATGAAAAATGTGTAAGACCTATAAGAATATTCTAAAACTTTATTGGTGGTCATTGAACAAAGCTTTAAGGAAGGAGTAAATTATGTTCATAAATGGGAAGACACACTGTTTGGATAATATTTTCCCCCGAATTATCTATAAAATCAATGCAATTATAATTTAAAAATTCCTTTGCTTTTAGTTTGTTTTAATTTGGACAAATTAAATTAACTTGACAAATGAATCGTAAGGTTCATGAGGACGAATAACTGTCCAAAAATAGCCCAGAAATGTTTGAATAAAAAATAATAATGATGGAGCCATGCCCTAGCTGACATAAAAAGTCAGTTACGTAACTACAATAATTAAAAGAATGTGGAGCAGGTCTGGTGATAGATCAGTGAAACATAATTGAGAAGCCAGAAATAGACCATGTGCAGATGGCAGTTTAGTGTTGTATTCTACAGGATAAAGATACATTTGAAGTTAGTATAGAGAGGATGGATGGCTTATTCAGTAAGAATATTGGAGCAATTAACTATCAGTTAAAAAAACAACAACAAAAAAACAGAGCTTGGTCCCAATCTTATCAGCAAACCAGAGATTCAAGTGTAAAATATAAGCATCGGTGTTCTACAAGAAAATGAATCTGTGGTGTTTCAGCAGGGCAGCAAAAAACCAGGGAAGAAAAAGTTTAAGTTTTACGACATGAAAATTTGTTAACATAAGACACCATAAATGGTATTAAAAGATGAAAGGACAAGCCACAGACTGGGAGAAAGTGTTTGCCAACCATATGTCTGACAAAGGACTCGCCTCCAAAATATACCAAAGAGCTCTGTAAACTCAACGGTAGGAAAACAACCAAAAATGTCTCCGGACATTTCAAAATCACCCCCTGTTGAGAACCACTGGATTAGAAATGAGCGAGACTTGAAGAGACACTTTAGTGAGAATACTATATGGACTGAAAGTAAGCGCACACAGAAAGATGTTCAATATCATTAGCCACGAGGGAAACGCATGATAGAGCTCCAATGAGATATTGCTACGCAGCTTTGGAACAGCTAAAATTAAAAGCTCTGATCATAACA